TCCCTCTGTGGCCCTAATATTCTATCATTTTATATATAGCCTTATAGTCTATGGGAAACTGTAAATTATCTAATGATAGCAACATCATCTAAAAGTCATCATTTATCCAAAATGATTGAAATTAATGATCACAAACGTTTAAACAATGACAGTGGGTCTAATTATATGTGATAACAATGTATAGTGTGCAGTGAAATAACTATTGGTTTCCGTTTGTGGTGACTGCTGACTGACATGAGGGATGAGATTAAATAAATCCTGGAACTTAGCCTGGTCTGGAGCAGGCTAGCTCCACAGAATAAATCTCCATGGTAATTTATACCATAACATCCTGCCGCCATCTAATCCAGCTTTAGTGCAACCGGATCACGGATAAATTGAGCCAGGATCACCAAGATATCCCGGCTTAATCCCTTATCCTAGTTTTGTGCAATAGGCCCCTGGATTCACTGCCTTTTCATTTCTTCACCCTCACAGGTGTTTTCAGATAAGACCTGTTGTGAGATGCTACTTGGTTGAAGTCATGCTGGAACCTCCACAAACTCTGCACTGAAATGGACGATAATGGTTTAAGTGTTCCTGCCGAAACAAGAGAATCACAACTAAGGAAATAGCAAAGATGTGAATCAAACTCAGTCCTGAGGTCATGCATAGTCACCATGCTGAACTAAAAAAATGTCACTGAAGGAAAACACAGTTCAGGCATTTCTCCTCTACAAAAAGAAACTAAAATATTGTTTTCTCTCAGAAACTGACCTACAATTCTCTGAGTAACTTGATTCGACACTAATCTGAAAAAAGTAGGATAAAATCTCACAAGAACAAATTTATGGAAATTTAATATTATGCATCAATAAACAGGAGAATCTGATACAATTGATGGTTACGATAAGAAAGAAATAAAATATACATTTGATTTGATTGCCCTCTACTAGGTGATACTGAGTCATACTAAAATGTATGGCAAGGCCTCAACTCAAAATAATTTATGCAAAAAAAGAGAAAAGACCAGAACAATAAATTCAACTTCAGCTTGGACTCTGAATTTCATTTGGCTTGTTTCCAAAGGCAGTTTCATCTGCTTAGAGGAAGATTCAATTAAACAGTTGCAACCACAGGAACTGAGATTTTCAGCCAGAATATCACTGGATATGCAAACACCAGGAATAGGTTTGCCTTTATAGATCCCGTCACCAGATTTACTGAATCTAAGGCTCAGAAGGTCTTTTAGTATTCATTTCTATCCATCAGATTATTTAATACAAAGGCCAAATATCTAGGAGAGATAATAATCAAATCATAACCACACAAAAATAACAAGGGGGACAGTTCATGAGCTCACACCAGTACCGACAGATGTTTTCAGGCAGGTGAAAATTGTCTATTTTATTTGTCCGTCATTCAAATGTCATTACATTTAGAGCCAACCTACTGTATGTAGCTGTAAATATGAAAAGGATAGTTCAAAATAGCAGAGGAGTCCAGTGGGATAAACATATGTGGTTCTTATATTGAAAAATGTTGGACAAAATAAGATTACATGAAAACTGAACTGGTAGAACAGTGTGGATTGTAGCAGCACTATGAAACCACAGCAGTGTTTCAAAAGTGTACTAAGGTTCCACATTTTCTTGCACTCTGACAACACGCCAGTGAACGTCAGGCTGGTTTTGGCTTTGACGTCAGTGGGTTCAGAAAAGAAACAAGGACAGGGGATGTGCAGAACAAAAGGGGGACTGAACAGACTCAGTCCTAGCCCCATGTCCTCATCATGGACCAGCGATCCATAAAGATAAAATACGTAAACAATCATTTGTTCATAAATGCCATCAGATAACATGAAAACATTTTTTTAAGGATTGTTTGTTCTCTATCTACAATTCGCTTTAGCCTTTAAACCATTTTGGCATAATGGACAACCAAATATGTCCATTGACAGCCAATGGAAATTATTTCTTTCCATACCTCCCCCAGCCAGTGTGTTCAGATGCTATGGCTTACGCAGGGCTTTGCTTCTGGAAAACACTTAAGACACAGAACAGTGTGACGGATCAAATGGGTGGCGAGTTGCATTTTAAATGGGAACATAACATCAGCAGGGTAAACGGAATGACCCCTAAAGATATAAAGCCATCAAGTTCATACCCTCAAATATCTTACACTATTGCCAGAAAGAAAATAAACAAGAGCATTGAAAATAAAAAAAAGAATATATATTTATATATCCATCATATGTATATCTATATACTGTATAAACAACAGTTATAACTAGTCGCAGGCAAGCAGAAACCTTCTCTCCTGCCCTTGTAAGAATCTTCCGTTCCACAGTTATAAGGCTGTCAGATTCTTGGAGAGGGCAGCAGCTTTCTTTCTTTCTTCAGTCACCAGATTCCCTGAGATGTAGAGCGCCATTTTATTTGTCAAGGTTTGTTTGATTTGAACATCAACCACTAAGCCCCTGCCATTAAACCATGTGTGTAGGGA